CGAGGTACCCGTGTCTGAGAAGTTTGCGCATCGACGTAAGCAGGTGTACTACATGATGAGGCGTCCGGCGAAGACTGTACAGTAATCGTGCACGCGATTACCAAAACATCCCAAAATCCTCAACACCATAACTCAGCCCCACGATGTCGTTAGAGGACGCGCTTAAAGATGCAGATGCAGCTGATGAAGCAGGTCAACTTTGCTACCAAGGCATTGCTGATAATCATGGTCTTACGCGGTCAACGTTGTCGCGTCGCGTGACGACGCTGACCTCGCGCATTCATCACCTCCGCAGCCGTTTCCACCGGCATCAAGTTCTATTGCATGCTCAGCAGGCCGGTTAGATGCAGGCGGCTTTGCCAAACTATCACCTCCTGGCGCAGTACCCTGGAATTGTCATCGAAGTGGCATATTCACAGAAGAAAAAGAGGCTACGCCGGCTGGCCGAAGACTATCTTCTAGGCTCCGATGCGAGTGTGCAAGTTGTTGTGGACTACCTTACGAACCATACGCCAAGTATCGCCATACTCCTAAGAATGTGTAAGTCGTCAATCTGGAAAGCTGTATTCTAACATTCTACCCACCATCAACAGCATTCGGTTGTTACCACTCACAACCTGACCCAGGTACATATCGGGGCGCGAAGAGTAGATGTTGCTTCTCTTGTCGAGCAAGTCCTTGATCGCTTCGTCCGTGGACAGCACAACCATGACTCTGGTTCCAAGGATCAAAGAGTACATCGGTTCATACTCTTCAGCCCATTTCTGGAACTGCAAATGACCCTTCGCTTTGGGCATTAGGTGGAGGTTGCCAATCAACGGCAAGGTTGGTGGTCCCGGAGGATAGTTTGCCGGCCTTCGCCCAATCTTGCTGAGCTGATGCAGCACCAGAGCTAGTACGGCAGCCAACGCTGCGTACATTGAGACAGACATGTTGGGCGAAGTGTCGACTATTTCGATGTGAGCAACACAGGCAGTGCACATTTATTGCTCCTAGTGAGTGGGCCTTCCAGCGTACCGCATGGACTAACCGACTAGCATAGTGTAAATCGCTATCTTCATCCTACACACTGTGAAACGTGTCGAGCTAATGCACGCGGCGTTGACTTCAAACTGCAACGCTGCACAACAGCCCGGTCCAGCTGCCACCGACGACCCAATCACATATCGCACGTTCCAGAGAATGACCCAGCAGACGTTGTGGCATCGCAGCACCCGAGTCTTGGGATCTTCCCTGCTCCCCAAGCGAGCGATAACGGCCTGCCCCGTTACGTTACCGTGTCCGTGCACCCAATGCACGGAGTCAACCAATGCACGCTCTGAGCCTGCACGGCTACTACAAAAGTGAGGCTATAGAGCCATACACAATAGTTAATATCGTGAAACTTTTTGGTAGATTTATCTATAGACCTATGCGACAAGGTTTCTTATACAAAGTTACTGATATTTAGTGGCGGTACGGCCGCTGCGTGTCGTAATAGTTGGGCGTGGTAGAGGAGGCGTCGCAGGCTTTGGGTGACTACGCGCACCCACAGCACGACGCGCAGGCTTCTGTTTGACAGCAGAAGCTTTTAAGGTTGGACGATTACCTCTTTGGGATAATTTGAGAGCTTTTGCAGCGTCGCGAGCCTCCTTATCCTTGCGTCTTTGCTCCTTGCGCGCATCGATGGCTGCTCGCTCCTCTGCCTTGGCCTGCTCTCTCGCTGCCTTCTCCCTTGCCCGCTGCTCACGCTTCTCTTCTGCAATCTTCTCCTTGTAGATTTTATTAGCAGCAGCTAACTCTCTCGTCTCTGCCTTTTTGAGCTCCTCTTCTTGTGCGTCTTGTTCTGCAACAGCTATGCGCGCGCGCGCCTCGCGGAAGGCTCGAGGAGACCACATCATCGCACCTCCGTGATACTCCTGATGTTGCTGCAGGTCTAATTGCCTATTGGGTTGCTTCTGGCGCTTCCTGTTTTGGTAGAGCTTCTTGCGTAAGCCATCTACTTCAACTTGGAGTAATTCTACTTGACATAAGAGATGGTGGATAGTTTGACCCAGCTCCCGTGCGCCCACACTGCGCGAATCCTTCACCTCTGCCTGGAGTGTGGTGCAACCTTTGAGCCAATCCTCTGCAGAATAAGCCGTAGAGCTAGAGGAGACTGATTCTAAGCTGTCAGGGCTTATGTGGCGGAACCTATCGAGTATGACGTCGGGATTCACTGGGGATATGCCGGTGGCTGTGAAGGCCTTTGATATGAGGTTTTCAGTGAACGTGGATACCCAGGCAGGCCAGAGCAGGGCAAAGAAGTCACCTTTGGACAGTGGAGAAAGGCCCTGAGATACCTGGAGGTGGTTGTCGAGTTCACAGGAGTAGTTAGATGAGAGAGGCTTGAAGCAGACTACATCTAACGGCTGAAGAGTCTGGGTACTGTGAGGAGGCAATACCGCCAATATAATCCGCTTCTGGTGACAGTATTCGATAAACTCCTGGGTTAGATGACTCCCATGGCCATCCACAATCAAGAGCCGATACCTTAGCCGTGCCTTTGGCTTGGTGTATCGGTCAAACACCTGCTCAAGCCAAGCCAACCCTATACCATTGTTCGTCCATCCTGATGGCGATGAGGCGACGTGGATAGCGTGCTTTCCCGCCTCGATATCCGCCACCCAGCGGCTTTGGATGGTGGAGTTCTTTGACGCGAAGATGATGCTAAGGGGAAGAGCAGTACCATCCGCGCAGATCGCGGCCAACAGGCTCACCCACTCACATGAGCCATCTTGACGAGCCTGCCTGACCTCCTTCTTCTCATATTGACGCCTGCTAAACACCCGTTTGGTTCTACCCAGCACCCCAATCGCGAAGCCCTTCTCATCCATATTGTATGTGTTCTCTGGCGCAATGTCGTATTGAGTGATCTTCTGCTGTAGAACCTCAAAGTACAACTGGTACTTGCATTGTGACTCAGCGTTATGGCGATTAGAGTCCATGCCGGTGGTCCATTGGAGGGTAAGCCGATCGCGGTGACGGTGCAGGAAGCGCTTGACCCAGCTATCAGAGCAGGGCTGTGAGGCAACTGAGGATGCGGAATTTTGTATCATATGCCTTGTAGGTGGTAAGTGACGCGCCGAAAGCTCCTCTATATACTTGACTAGATCTGATTCCTGTTGGTTGCTGAGCTTTTGTTGGTTCTCGTTGGCGACGCGTCGGGGGATCTGATTAAGTCGATGCGCGCGCGACAACGTTGAGCGATCAACACCATGTTTTTTTTTGCTATATTTGTATACACAAGTTATTCGCCAGGCTTCGAATTATCAATCTCTGCAAGCGCATCTGATATTCCTGTCATGGTGGTTGAGTAAATACGCGTTCAAAAGGTGGTGGTGATCGCGATCCCCGTGCATTGGTTGACTCCGTGCATTGGGTGCACGGACACGGTAGCAGCGGAAGCGGCACAGCTCGCCAAAGGAGGAATTAGTCTAGCTCGCTACGCCGCCATCCTTCCTACCTACCTCCAAGCGACTGCCTGGAATTCCACCGGATTCCAGTAATTTTTGTGGGAGCGATAAGCGCTGATAAGAAACAGGCGGGGTGGGATCAAGGAGTGGGATCAAAAGCGTTGAATTTTGAATTTTGGGCGATAATTTTGAATTATAGGCGACTAAATTGTGCAGAACAGCGCTGCGATTTCAAGTGTTCACTCAGATCTCAAATCTTTACGCTAGTTGCAGCGCAATTACTGAAAAAGTCTTTTTGTTAACGTGCCCCACTATCGAGATGCGCACACCATCGAAATGCGCACTCTGCCAAGCCCCCACCACTTTCAACTCTCTATTACAATGTCTCAACTACCAAATCTTGAACTGCTTTCTACTGAAGACAGAGTCATCCAGGCTATCCAAGCTATGAAATCTAACGCGTCGCTTACCCAGCGACAAGCCGCGCATCGCTACGATATACATGAAAGCACTCTCCGCAATCGACGCGCTGGGAAGGCTTCACGACGCGATACTCAACCCAACCGATCAAAACTCCAGAGACATGAAGAGGAGGCGATTATACAATATATAAGGAAGCTTGACGCGCGAGGTTTCGCCCCTACGCTTAACTATGTGGAGAAATGGCCAACCAACTACTAGCTACACGTAGTGGTGGCCAGGTTGGAGAAAACTGGACCTACAGGCTTGTACGCCGGAGACCTGAGATCAAATCTCAGGTAACAAGACAGCGGGATCATCAGAGAGTCCTCTGCAGCGACCCAGCTATTATTGGGCCCTGGTTCAATCTTGTACACAACGTCAAGGCCAAGTATGGGATTCTAGATGAAGACGTCTATAATTTTGATAAGACTGGCTTCCAGATAGGCGTTAGAGGGTCTGTTAAGGTAGTAACAGCCTCTGAGAGACGTCTCAAGCCACTTGGTGTTCAGCCTGGCGATCGTGAGTGGGCAACGCTGATTGCTGGCATCAACGCGATGGGGTGGTCCATCCCACCCTTTTCATCTTCAAGGCAAAGAACCATAACCAGGCCTGGTATCACAACCCTAAAGATTGGAGGATAGGAGTTAGTGAGAATGGCTGGACAATAAACGAGCTTGGTCTTGCATGGCTGCAGCACTTTATCCAGCATACAGAGGCTCGCACAGTGGGTAGTCACCGGCTGCTTATTATTGATGGCTATGAGAGCCACAAGTCGCTCGCCTTCCAGGATCTGTGTGAGGAAAGCAATATTATCACCCTCTGCATGCCTCCACACTCATCGCACATCCTACAGCCACTTGATGTGGGTTGTTTTGCCCCGCTGAAGCAGGCGTACAAGAAGGAAGTCAGGGGCTTGGCAGACAGCCACATCTACCACATCGACAAGAAAGCCTTCCTAGCTGCCTTCAGGCCAATATTTGACAAGGCGTTCTCAAAGAACAATATCTTATCAAGCTTTCAAGCAACTGGCTTAGTCCCACATAACCCAGATGTGGTGTTATCTAGGCTTAAAGTACAGCCTCGTACGCCAACACCACCTGCATTAGGGCCTACCCCTTAGGAACCTAAAACACCAAGCAACGCCTGGGAGATAGAGGCTCAAACAACGCTGATTGTCAAGAGGATAACAGATCACAAGGAATCATCACCTGATTCTATCATTGAGATAGTGTTGCAGGTCAAAAAGGGATCAACTTTGAAGGTGCACTCACACACGTTGCTAGAGGCTAGAATAGCCAACCTTGAGGAGGCAAACCAGGCAGCATCTAAACGTATAAAGCGCAAGAAAAAGCGAATCCAGAAGGGAGGAACCCTATCGCAGGCAGAGGCAGAGGATATAGTTGAGCAAAGGGATGTTGAGATCCAGTTAGAGGTGGAGAGGCGTCAGGAGAGGGTGCGCGCAGGTGGTAGTGCAGGAGGTATCCGACGCTGCAAGAACTGCGGCGAGGCAGGACATAATAAGCGCACATGCAAGAAATATGCAGCAGAAGTAGAGGATTAATTCGAGCTATTAAATGCGTAGATAGCTTGTTGTGGTGTTGAGTTATTCGCATGCGAACATAGATTGCTGTATTTCGTGCGCATTTCGATGGTGTGCGCATCTCGATAGTGGGGCACGTTAACAACTCTAAAGGTCTAACGTGTTTCCCCGCCGAGTCGGCCACTTCTCCCTACCAAAACGCCTACGCAGCGACGTCGCGCAACACCACAACAAAATTTTAGACTATACGTAATAAGATACTATTCTTCAGAAGCGTCGTTACCATCTACGTCCTCTATTTCTACCTTGCAGGTGCGGGAATTATGCCCAGTTTCGTCGCAACGGCTACAGTGCCTCTCTGCGCGCACCCTCTTCGGTCTATCACCGTCGTTACGACCGTCACCCGCCGTTGCAGCGACCAAGTAGCTACCTCACCAACCGTTAAGGTCTCCTCTGCTCGTACGTAGCGTCGCTTACGACTCAGGCGCTTTGTTAAGGCCTCGACTGCGTCTTGAAGGCGGTCAATTTTCTCCTGCATTAACACCATATTATGAGCTATCTGCTGAGTGCCCTTACTTAACTGCCTGACCTGCTCATTAAGAGAACTTGCTAGAGACCCTTAATAGATTTGCATGCGGTTTTAAATAAGCATTAATTGCGCCTCTACCTCGCGGGCGTTGCGCGGTGTCTTCGCCTCCTAAGCGACGTTGTCTAGTCGTGGTAGGGTAAACGTAAGCGGCAACTGAGCTGCGCACTAAATGCAGCTATCCACTCCAACACATTAATAACTCAACACTACAACATCGTACTGTAGTGCATAGTACGTTAAATTAATCCTCTATTTCTGCTGCACCTTTCTTACACGTGCGCTTATTGTGCCCTGTCTCGCTACACCCCTTACAGTGTCTAATACCCCTCTACTATTATCGGTGCTTGCGAAAGGATATGGACCCCCCTTCCCCCCTTTTGATTTGGCAATTGATCGTCAATAATGTCAAAAACTCAATATTAGTATGAGAAAAAGCCTCTTTTTGCATTGTACACGAATCTCTTTCACTCTGTTACAAATTAAGCTTCTTTTCTTGAGGTTTAAGGGTGTAAAGGAGAAAGAGAGAGAGAAGGAGAGCTATCATCCGGTCTTTCCGGAGACGCTATAACGTCATTAAATGACGTCTTTGACCATACACATGGTAAGTTTGTCATCTCCAAGTACTCCGATAGGTCAGACTAGAGCTAACGTACTCCACAAGTGAGTGGCCGTCCCAAGTGGGTGGCCGGGATTTGCCAAGACCCCACCAAAACCACAACTATACACGACAGTACAGCACTAACATGGTTCACAACCGAGTCGGCCACCCAACCGAGCCGGCCACTTTACCCCACTAAAATGCCTACGCAACAACAACGCGTCATGTCTCAACAACGCAACGTGCAAAAGACCTATACTGAAGGAGATATACATATTGCTATCTCTGATATCGCATCTAAGCAGATTCAAAGCGTAAGACGCGCTGCAGCAGTCTACCGAGTCCCTTGATCCACGCTCCAAGACCGACGCACTGGGACACGCCCTCGACGCGACTGCGAGCCAAACACAAAGCGCCTTACAGAGCTAGAGGAGGAGGTGATTGTGGAGCGCATACTCAACCAATCACTACGTGGCGTACCTCTCCTGAAGGCAAACGTACGAGATATGGCTGATAGACTGCTAGGAGAGCGTGGTAGAAAGCCTACAGGCAAGAACTGGGTTGACAACCTTATTAAGCGTACACCTAAGCTGTGAACTCGATGGAGCCGTCCGTACGATCACCAGCGAGCTGTCTGTGAGGACCTAGTGGTTATTAGGCCATAGTTTACGCTCGTTTAATTAATGAAGGCGGAGCATAGTATTGCAGACGAGGATACCTGGAGCTTTGATGAGTCTGGCTTCATAATGGGCAAGGTATCTTCTCAGCTTGTTGTCACAGGCTCAGAGAAACCTGGGAAACAGAAGAAACTACAGCCTGGCGATCGCGAGTGGGTGACTCTAGTCCAAGGTGTCGCTGCGACAGGGCACGTTATCCCACCCTTCCTCATCTTTGCAGGCAAGGTCCTCATTACCTCCTGGTTCGCAGATCTACCTCGCGACTGGATTATCACTGTCTCTCCTACTGGCTGGATCAACAACGACCTCGCGCTCGCGTGGCTTAAGCACTTCGATGCTCATACGAAGGCGTCCTCTACTAGGGCATATAGGCTGCTTATCATTGACGGCCATGACAGCCACTGCTCAGTAGATTTCCAGGACTACTGCAAGGACAACAGGATTATCGCTCTCTGCATGCCACCTCCTTCATCGCACCTCCTGCAGCCTCTTGACGTCGTCCCCTACTCGCTGCTAAAGCGCCACTATGGCAATAGAATCTCGCTCTTGGCACGCAGCCACATCTACCATGTTAACAAGGAAACCTTTCTACCAGCCTTCAAAGAAGCTCATAAGAAGACGTTCACACCAGAGAACGTTCGCGCAGGCTTTCGAGGTGCTGGACTAGTCCCATATGACCCAGAGGCTGTGTTATCGAAGCTGGATGTGCAGCTGCGTACGCCGACGCCGCCTGCACCAGGCACAGTCGCCTGGGAGGCGCAAACACCGCGCAACGCCCGCGAGATAGAGGCGCAATCTACGCTAATTCGAAATCGCATGCAAAACCACCAAGGGTCACCAGCAAGCTTATTAGATGAGCAAGTTAAGCAGCTAAGTAAAGGCGCGCAGCAGATCGCTCATAATATGGTGTTAGTGCAGGAGGAAATGGGCCGCCTTCGAGACGCTGTTGATACGCTTACAAAGCGCAAGACTCGCAAAAGGCGGTACGTACGCGCAGAGGAGACTCTAACAGCTGGTGAGGTATCTGACTTGATTGCTAAAATGGAGGGTGGTAGGCGTGAGGACAGCGAGACGCCTGCGAAGAGGGTGCGCGCAGAGAGGCGCTGCGGCCGTTGCAGCGAGGTTGGGCACAACTCCCGCACCTGTAGGGTAGAAACAGAGGATGTAGATAATAGCGACGCTTCTAAATAATACTGTAGTATTGCGTACAATATAGTAATCTGTTGTAGTGTTGTGCTGTGTTGCTACGCGTGCGCTGCACTGGTGTTGGGGTGGCCACTCGCTTGGGGTGGCCGCTCGCTTATGAACCACGTTAAGGCTTAATTAAGAGCTTACTTAGCTTAATGTTGTCACGGCGGTGGCCTAGATAGCCAATTAGAGCATGCCAAGCTGCTAAGCGAGCAGCTGCGCGATCGCTGAAATTCCTGTGCGAACGCGTCCCGTCGTATGCTCCTTGAGCTACGTCCTTGTCCTAGCCTGACCTAGTGCTGTCAGTTATACGTAGTGAATACACCGATCACGTGTACCTATCTCTCCTACCTGCCGCCCCCGTGACACTAGAGCCCAGTTGGTGAATCCTCGATGATACCTCGGTTATGTGCGCAAGCGCACGGCGCGCGACGGTACGCGTCTGAACGACACTCAGGCTAAACCCCTAAACCCCGGCCGAAGATTAATCCGAGCTGCCACTGATTAACCCTTAGCACCTTAGCAGTCTATAGTTCTCTCCTCTATCGAATACAACTCCAGTATACCTGTGCGATAGCTCCCTGAGCGTAGCCCCCTTACATCCGCACCTGCACCAACACTCAATAGCCGTGGCCGCAAAAATACTTCAGCCACGCAAGTTTTAGTAGCAGATTTTGTTGCATAGGTCTATAGATCACTCCACTAAAAATTTAGTCAAGACAGCTTTTGTGTGTGGCTGTAGAGCCTCCTTTTTCTATAGGTAGCTGTAAGGGGCTACGCTCAGGGAGCTATCGCACAGGTATACTGGAGTTGTATTCGATAGAGAAGAGAACTACAGGTAGCTAGGGTTCTGAAGGTCGTTCAGGGGGCGGCGGCTCGGGATAACCTTCTGCCGGGCTCGCTTGCACAGAATCCGGGTGCTCAGGGGGGGCACCCGGAATCTGTGGACAGTGCGCCTCGCGCACGTGACCGAGATATCATCGAGGACTCACCAACTGGGCTCCAGCCCATCACAGTGGCGTAGGTGTTGATGGTGCGCGTTACGGCGCATGCGCATTGCGAGCACAGACACGGTAGTAGAGAGAAAGCACCTTTCAAATGCGAATCGGAAGCATTCAGTGACTGCTCGGCAGACCACTGCACATGCTGATTACGTGTCCGCAAGCGAGTACGCGGTCCAATCACAACGCCACGTTATACAGCTAGCGCGATATCTCGGTTCCTGTTGCGGAAGGCTCAGTCGCGGACACGCAATATAGTAAGGCACTATGTAGGGTCTAGATGTTGCTTAGACAATGCGATACGGCGCATAGATCTATACGCGAATCCCTTTTGCTGCTTTTAATAAGGCGAACATTTCCACTGCACTCACCTATAATCAACTCTACACTGACAACCACATCCACAGCTGCTTGAGCTCTCCACCACGCGAACGATCTATCCGACGTGCGACATAAGCCTACCTGACTTCAAGATCGACGCTGAGCCAAAGCCCATCTTACCAAGGACCTGTCCAAGGGCTACTTCAGATTAACCATGGCGGACACAACAAAGCCTGAATATGTCCTTTGGCCATACATACCTTCTATTGCCGGCGGTGCAATTGCTGCTGTCGTCTTCGCTCTCCTCACATGCGCCCATATCATCCGACTTATCAAGAATCGTACTTGGTTCTGCATACCTTTCATTATCGGTGCTTTAGTACGTTTGGTTCAGGAAACCTTTATTACAGTTCGCTGACTGGCTTCTAGTTCGAGACGATCGGTTACGCCGCACGAGCAGCAGCGCACAATGACACAGTCTCTAAGATGCCTTATATCATCCAGTCTGTCCTTATTCTGATCGCCCCTATCCTGTTCGCTGCCTCCATCTACATGATCCTCGGACGCCTGATCATGCGCACTGACTCCGCATCTTACTCGCTCGTACGCGCCAACTGGCTCACAAAGATCTTCGTGACTGGAGATGTCTTTTGTTTCTTTATCCAAAGCGGCGGTGCTGGTATGCTTGTGCAGGCCAAAGATAAGGATGGTGTCAAGATGGGCGAGAACATCATCCTCGGTGGTCTCATCCTGCAGATCTTGATCTTCCTGTTCTTCGTCATCATCGCGGGCACATGGCACCGCAGGCTGGAATCGAGGCCCACGGTTGCATCCGCTGATATCCCGTACCAGAGAATGGTCCGCTTCCTCTATGCTGCGAGTGCTTTCATCACCATCCGTAACATGTGTCGAGTGGTTGAGTACGCCATGGGCAAGGTAAGCCTCTTCAGCCCTATATCGCAATTTCTCAGAGCTAATGAAGACAAAGGAGGCATACCTTCTTCAACATGAGTGGCCATTGTACATCTACGACTGCCTAATGATGATTGCCACGCTCGCCGTCTGCATCACCTGGTACGATCCCAACATCAAGCCTAGACGCAAGAATGACATCGAGTTCGGCATGCGACGATAGGATGAGGTTCCCAGCCCTGGAGAAGTGCAAACGAAGCGCTTCACAGACGTGGCGTCTCTGCTTGAGCTCTACGAGCGGTAATAAGCGACCTGAGTCGCGCTAGCAGGAAGCGCACTCATATTGCTAGGCACTGATCGCCGGTGCAACGCTTAGACTGTCGCGATACTGCGACACTGTTATGGCTGAAATCTCGCCTATTCGTCATTCTATATATAGTTTGTCGCAGGCCAAGCGCTGTCGGGAACATGAACCTTATTACTAATAACGCCGTGCGATGACCTCCATATAAGCTGAGCTATGATGCTAGAACAATACCGTGCCCGTGCACCCAACGCGCGCCGTCGGCCAACGCGCGGAATCGGCCCTAACCATCACCAGCAAACTTGAGGTTATTGAGCTACGTACAAAAGCTATCTTGACCACATTTTTTTGGTGGAGTGATCTATAGGCCTATGCGACAAATTTTGCTACCAATATTTGCGTGGCTGAAGTATTCTGCGGCCGCGGCTGTTTACTGTAGGTGCAGGTGCTGTAGGCGGCTTATGGACCACACTACCACTCTGCACAGCTGTAGAACTACGTTTCTGCCTCTTTTGAACTTCTTGTTGCTGTGAGGCCTTGCGCTTGCCTTTTGCTGCAGTCTGTAATCTGTTTTGAGAGTCGCGCTCTTGTTTCTTGCGTGCTCTCTCAGCCTTGCGCGCATCGATAGCTAGGCGCTCTTCTGCACGCTTTCTCTCTCGCTCTTCCTTCTCCCTTGCTGCCTTCTGGCGCTTCTCTTCTGCAATTGGCTTGTTGTAAGCTGTAGTAGCAGCCTTTAGCTTTCTTGCCTCTTCTTTTTGAAGCTCCTCCTCCGCCTCACGCTTTGCTATCCTCATCCGTGTGCGCGCTTCTCGGAAGGAGCGAGGAGTCCACATCATGTACGGTCCCTAGTACTCATAGTGTTGTAGCAAAGCTAGAGGCTTCCCTTGGTTCTCTCGCTTCCTCTTAGTAGTAAGAGCGTCTATTAGACCTTCATTTTCACTCCTTAAAAGGGTGTTTTGGACAGCGTGCGCCATGTAGGGCAGAGTCCACAACAAGCAAGTCAAGCCAAGCCGGCGCCGATATCTTGACTTGGTATGCAAGCCGTGCTGCAACTGTTAGGCTTGCTTGAGGCTTGATCGAATTACAAGGCTGTTTTGAAGGCTTGACTTGATGGCTTGATAGATTTTAGTAGTGTCGTAGCTCAGGCTGACTACTCGACAGGCTCTATCTCTAGCGACTCGGCCCAGCTATATATATCATACTCACGCGAGAGTGACTCGTCAGTGAGGCTCTCAAGGCTTGTGCTGCCGTCTATCCCATCCGTTTTCTTAGTATTGTATCCCGCTCTCGTCCATGCCCGTATTAGCTGTAGAGCCGCTAGTAGCTCGCTGCTAATCGCTCGTCGTTTTGGCTCAAGTAGGTCACCAAGCTCGCTGAATAGGCGCTCGCATTCACAGCTAGATGCTGGGATAGTTAGGATATCGATTGCAAACTGGCTTAAACACGGGTATTTTGAGCGCATCGCAATCCAGTACTGGATAACGTTACCATCGTCAAGGCTACGCCATGGCGGCTCTTGATTAAGCCAGCGGTCATACTCATCGCCTTGTGGGGCTGCTACTGTGTGATTACGCTGTGTATAGGCCCCAATTATGTCGTCTATATCGCTTGTTTGGGCAGATCGAGCCGCTGGAATAGGCACTGGCTTCGGCAGCTTCTTATAGCTTTTCCAAAGCCGCTGGAAGCCCTCATTAGCGGCCTCGATCCACTCTGGCTTCTCGCTCCAACTGTTTTCACAGTAGTATTTATAGAGAGGGTGGAGGCACGTAGCAGCGTAATAGATTGGGGAGTCGTCAAGCTTGTTGTAGTAAGCGTCGGCCTTCTTCTACGCAGCGCGGAGGTTAATATGAAGGTGATCTGTAGGCGCATTCGTTAGCAAGGAACGCCTATAAGTAGCTGCAAAATCTACCTTCTGGCGCCTCGTTATGCGCGTTAAAGTTAACGTTAATCTATGGCTGCGCAAGCTCTTCGAGGCTACGCAGTAGATACTCGAAGACTGGCAGCACTTTGTAGATTGCGCTAAAACTGCTGGCCTTACCGCGACCCTCTAGCCTCTTCGTTGCTATCTGAAGCGGCTTGAGGCAGTTCTGATACTCTGTAATTGTTGCCCAGTCGCTGGCAGCGAGCCCACCTTGCCTCATCTAAGACGGCACATCCTTGCTAGCGCTGCCGCTGCGCTTTTCGTTAAAAGCGACACTTTTAATGTGGTGCTCCATATATCGATCAAAGGCGCCGTGGAGCTTTGTCGCGCGCTCAATAGCGGCATAATACGAGTTCCAGCGGGTGACAACAGGGCGTACGGGTGTGAGGAGTGGGATCTGATCGTCGGCCGGCAGCGCTTTGTCAGCGTCGCGCTGGCAAGCCCGGAAAAGCTCATGCTGCTGCGGCGTCCTGATGTAGTTGATGACTGCAATTAGTGTGCCTAATTGCCCGTGTCGGCGCCACTCACGCATGTACAGCTCCTCTGTTCTAAGCTCCTCTGCAGCGTTGTTGTACGAGTCCTTGTCGTCGCCGAAAAGCAGAGCTTGCCCAATCAGATTGATCGTATGAGGGCCGCAGCAGAGACGACGGTGTATAGGATAAAAGCCGCCGTAATCGCGCGCAATTGCTGCAATTGCGGTGTCGTTGTTTGATGCGTTGTCGAGGACAAAGTAGCCTAATTGATTAGGTGTAATGCCAAACTCTCTCAGCGTCTGGATAACAACAGCAGCAATAGCCTCGCCTATAGAAGTTAGCTAGGCTGAGCAGAATTGTGTTTTCAACTTGCCGGTGTGTGCACCAGCGAGTTGCGGGAGGCTAATAGGCAAGTCGTGTACGGCACCAGCTGCTGTAGCAAAGTGGGCAACAATCCCAAAGAAGCCGCGCTTCCCGCCCTTGGTCGTCCAGCCGTCAAAACTCACGTGTATTTTGCTTACAGCATCTGACAGGGCGTGGACTATATGAGGTTTTAGCTGCCTAAACAGTCTCATTGCGTACGTTGCAACGCTGCGAGGACTCTGCCACAACGCCCTCTCGGCCTCTGGGTTGGCAAACTTGATCCTTTCGCGTGTTGATTGCCGCGCAATTATCTCCATTGGCATATTGTTGTCAACAATCCAAAGCACAAAGGCGAGGCGAAACTGTTGTACGTTGAAGTAACCTAGCGCGTTCGTTGCATGTTGCGAAAACTTAATGCCGCCGTTAATCGCTTGTTGTAGCGATAGCTGCCCGTGGGCAATTACTGCGCTTTTAACGTCGCGATCGCTTGAAAAGCCATGACCTGTTACAGGTCTTTTGAGGTGCTTGACAGCGGCAGTTGTTGCCTTCGTTACGTCGTAAAGGCCGCCGCCGAAGGCCTTATGAATATGGCAATATTTGCACACAAACCACACGCTTTTTGGATCGTTACGCTTGACAACACGATAGCCATAGTCGTATATCCAACTTTTCCTGCCTGTTAGCCTCTTTACGGGCTTCGCAAAGCGGCTAAGGCGCTCCCAAACGACACCCTCAAAGTGATCCTTGTCCTCGCCCCCGTCCTCCCAAGTTAAGCCGCCGCAGCTCTCCTCTGTAGCCGCTATTGAGGTGGTGGCAGCACGGCTGCTATGCTCAGTAGGTGCCGAGATCTGAGCTTCAGGCTGCGACTCTAAGATCTGCGACTCCCACGGTGGCTCTGGCGATAGCGGCGACGATGGCGACGATGGCAACGATGGCGGTGATGGCGACAGGACGTGTTGAGATATGCGCAATCGTTTAGGGACTTTAGCATTAGTCGTAGACGCGCACGCGCGCTTCTTCTAGCTCTTTAGGGGCATTGTAGCGCTTTGTATAGGGCTTCAATAACAATAGAGGGAGAGAATAGTCTTAGGAATAAACGCGCTACTGTAGAACGCGATCGGACGGTTTTTGTTTAGCGTAATTAGAGGAGCACTAACACCTCCACTCTCTACTCGAAACAGCACAAAAAGTGGGTCAAGCCTTATCAAGCCATCAAGCCTACAGCCACTATTTTGTAGGCTTGCTGTTCAAGTCTTAGACTGCTTTCTTGACTTGATTATGGCCTCAAGCCATCAAGCCTACAAGCCAAGCCCTTCAAGCCGGCTTGCTTGTTGCGGACTCTGCCACAAACTGCGACAAAACCTCAGAGATGCTGTTCACACTTTCTTGAAGCTGCATCATGCTTCTGTCTTGCCTAGGAAGGGTCAGCGATGAACCAAAGGGAGGGAAGAGGCAACGCACTTGGGTGGCGGGACGTCCTTGTACTGGCAGTCGAAGTTGTTCTCTCTGCAAAGTTGGCACGGCCGAGCCTCGTCACATTTCTGTTTTCGCGAACGGCAATGGTTACAGGCCTGGGAGGCGCGCACCTGCTTTCGCCTTATCTGCTGTGCAGTGCCATAGTCGTTCATGTACAGGGTCTGCGTGTAGAAGGTGACAGGAGGGGCGTACTGCTGGGCAGGTGGTGGCGGCTGGGGATGATATGGCGGTCCATTGGGATGTGCCCCAGGACTGATGGCGTGGTTGTATTCATTTGGTATGCTGCCGTTAGGGCGATGCTCGTGGTTGATTGTCCGGTGGTGATGGTGGCCGCCATGCTCTATGGAAGCCGATTGTTCAGACTTGATAGTGGTAGTCATACTGACGCGGGTAGACCAAGACCAGTCGTATACCGTGGACGTGTCTTGCGGCAATCTAGGGTAGGGAACCGGCAACTTTCATAGCTTTATGCGCCAAACGTGGACGCCGGGGGCGTGAACTAGCCATGATCTGTCATGGGAGTCGTAGTAGGCTGGTTTGTGTGGCCGTTTTTGCGACGACGTTGGGAGCGCATGTGTAGAGAGTACGGAAGGCAAGAACGAGATTGATCAGACGAAATGAGACATGACATTCTACATACTGTAGGCTGATACCCCGCGCTACCGTGATATATGACGAGAGCCTGCCATGGTTGAAGACTGGAGGACCATGCTGGAATTGAGTCGGTAAAAAAGACGAGGCTGGGGAGGAAGCTGTTAGTGGATGCTTTGGTCTTTGTCTTGATCCCTTGTTGCGGGAGCAGTTGGTGAAGCATTTCCTAAGCCCGGGTCAGGGACAGCAACGAGTGCAGTAGCTTCACAGCCAAGATGCTCATAACGGAATAGGACAGGCTCATGTCTACCGCCGAGATGCATCGTCGTGCTGGCTGAGACGGCTGCCCCTTGGAGTCGACTCTTTGGCCATGGTGAGGTACAGAACCGAGGGCCCGCTGCCCCGCTACCCCGTCATCACGTGACCTTGTGGCACCCCCGCGCGGCGGAGTCACGCCGGCACGACGTCATGGCCAAAAGTCGCGGCTTCGTTCGCGTCCGTGCGCCAAAACGGTATTTTGGCCCAATAATATATCCAGCCATGGTCAACCAGGTCTCTATCATGCTACCTATCCAAGTTCCATCAGGCTTTTCTCATGCTAGCCCGCCAAATTCCATCAGACCTTTATCAAGCTCACTACCAAAATCCAGTCGAGGCTTTACCAGGATGGTGATGTACAGACTTGTCAACAAGCAAACTGATCTACAGTTTGAATACCTAAACAAGCTAGTTTCCGTCCGGGATTTCCTGTCTAAGTATTCAAACTGTAGATCAGTTTGCTTGTTGACAAGTCTGGTGATGTAGGACATGCCAGTCTCGCGTGTTTGTCAAGCCGCATATTTCACTGCGCAGCCACGGAGAGAGCAGTCACATACGAGGGTGAATAACGCAGCCAGAGAAAGGAGGCATGTGACTCGGCTGCCGACGACGGGTTATCGACAGAGGCAGAGGTAAAGGCAGACGGTGCACCAGCTGACCTTGTTCCTATTTCCACTCCTGCCCCGCACGTTCAAACCACACTCGTCCATCCCACTCTACTCACTGAACTCACTGAACTCACTGCGCTCACCATCTCCCTCGCAGCCACAACAGTCACTACGCCTGCAATGCGTACGGTTGCGATTAATTCCAGCCCTGTGCAGCTATCCCATTGATCCGCCGTCAACCACACACGCAAACAATAACTCGCTCTCACCGGTATTCATGCAGAAGGAGGCCACGGACCCACCCGACTCGGCCAGATCTGCTACCACGGGCGCTTGGCGGGAGCGGGCGAGGCTTTGGTGGTACGGCGTCGTCATGAAGTTTATGGTCATGCGAGAACATGTCAAGATCTGCTTCCGGAAGGTGTGACGCCACGTACTCGCTGCCATATGACGACCAGATTGACGACCAGGGGACTTTCTCTAGTTACGCTAGAGCATGAGATGAATGACATGACGACATCAAGGCGATGGACATGGACGTCAGTACAAGGCATGCCTCTTGCATCAACCACGGACTAACAGCATAGCAGATACTGCCGTGGTGCTATTTACGTCTGGTGCCGCATTCATAACCTACCTTTACATCTTTGCGAACAGGGTCGCCCAAGATAGTGCGGTCCGAGGACTACCGTAACGGAGCAATGGGCGGGGCATGTCTTCACTCGCTAGTGACGACCGAAAAGGCGCAGGTGTGACCTTTCGGGCTAGCCTCAGTTCACTTGCGCTCAAGACTGTGAGCAGAGTCAACTCTCGCATTTCATTTTCTATTCTATGCTTCAATCAAAGCATTCCATCCCAACGCTTGCCTTCTTTTGAATACGGTTGGTACAGTTGTTTGAGCAGTAGGACTGACTTCCTCGACCTTCGTGGTACGTGTCGTGGATCCGGTTGTACTACCGCATGGCAATATGAGGTTTGAAGAAGCAAGATTGCTGATCTCGTCGAAGATGGGAACGTTAGCCTGCAGGTAGAGCAATCCTGTGGCAGCGAGGACATCGGATTCTGTGCGCCCCATCTCTGTGGAGGCGTTTTGCTTGACCAACTGTGTGGCCTTCATTACGCAGGCTCGTTGCTGCCGTGAGGTGTCGAAGGCGCTGGACTTGGGGAGACGTCGAATAGTCTGCGCAAACAGAAAGATAGCGGAGTAAAAGCCCACTCAAGGAAGGCCTTGGTGAAGGAGGAAGCAATGAATGGAAGCTCTGGAGCGCTATGGAATGAAGCTACCTCTGTACTGATGACGGAGGCGGTATTGCAGTAGCTATATACCACAGATGAGAGGAACCTGTCTCTCCGCATGCCGTTTCTTGGGTTGCGCACGGGTTCATGCAGTTCAGTCGCGAATTCCAGAGCTTGAACAAAGAACTTCCGGTCGTGGTCGCACATGGCACGAGCCAGTGTGTATAGCACTCTGCGCAATGGTTACCTCACAAAGGAGACGAGCAGCTCGGACGCTGACTCTTGGTAGCTCGGTCTGAGTTTGAAACAGAGCACGAGCCTTGTCACGGGCGCAGTTGGGAATGTGAGAAACTCGTGCCGATGTGGGCAGTACGGATGCATGCGCGCGGTGTACCTACCGCTTTTCTGAATCATAATTGTAGTCTGTGAGAGTCCCGAGGCCGTGCTGCGACATGGCGTCTGGCGTGAGCGTCTTGTTGTGAAGATCCGAGAGGGATCTATCACGTGCCCACGCGTCGTGGTCTTGACCTGTTTCAGCGTAGCGCCCGATTTAACATCCAGGCGGGAACGCGCGTCCATTGACATTTCGCCAGCTGCGGGAAACGGTTACCTGCTAGCAAGAGCGCAAACTGCGATAGGCGTACTCGAATGCAAGGCAAGTTTACCCCATACCTCTTAGGCATGCCAGGCGTCTGTGATGTAGTTTTTAGTTTTCTATGATGAGCATAACAGATAAAGCAATCGCATGCGAGCTATTACTTCTTAAGTAACAGCATGCATAGTTCTCCTAGTGATCCTTACTGGCATCCCCTCTCTTGGTTTCGCAGCCGCCAGCAACACTTGATATGCTTCGTCTCCAAAACACTCCTGCGGACCGGCCCTAAAAGCTTTCTCCTTGGCCCACAAACTACCATCACCACTTAGCGTCTGGAGCTCATCGTAAGCAGCGCTTACATCAAACTCTCTCATCGTGCATGCAAGAATAATTCTCAGTTCCATCAACGCGAGTTCCTGTCCAATGCAATTGCGCGGGCCTTTCTCGAATGGCCTAAAGGCCCCAGCAACGAGTTTGTCGATGTTTCCGGGAAGGAAGCGCTCGGGACAGAAGGCATGGGGGTCTGACCAGTAACATGGATCGCGGTGCATGGAAAAAGAGGGGATCCAAACCAAGTAGCCTTCAGTGGGGAGCATGCTCCCGGAGGTCGGATCGCGAATGAAGCAGTCTTTGCGACCGCGGCGGACGGTGGATCCGGGAGTAAAGAGACGGAGCGTTTCTTTGACGACGGCGAGGGTGTAGTCGCATTTGTTTATGAGATAGGGGCTCTGCTTCAGCTTCTCGCCAGCGCTAACGCCATTGCCGAAAACCTCGTCAAGCTCTTGTCGCATCTTCAACAAGGCTTGTGGGTGCTTGGAAAGCAGGTAGTAGCAGTAGCAAAGGGTCGATGCAGTGGTATCGTGCCCTGCGAAGAGCAAGGTATGCAGTTGGTCGATGGCGTATTTACGAAATTCTGCATCCATTGTTGCTGTCGCAGAGCTAGCAGGCTGTCCGCTTGTGTTGACCCATGCTTCGAGTGCAAGATCGATCCCGGACTTCTTCCTCGTATTCATCTGTCTATTTGCTTCTCGGGTAACAAAGCGTTCGTCCAAGACTTTGCCCAAGTACCAGTCCATATGATATTTGTAGTACTTCCAGAAGATGGAGCGTAGCGGATTGTACCAGTGAAACGGGTTCAGGGATTGTGTGTCAGGCATCCAGCCGAGAGACTTTCGCATAGCATTTAGATAACGATTGTCAGCAGTCAATGTTTTGAAGTCGTGATCGCAAGCCACCTTTCCGATGATATCGATGGTGACTTTGGTTGCCTCCTCCTCCAAGCGGAAGACTCTACCGGCTGTAGAATGACGATCAAGATTCTTTATAAAAGCCTCAGTGCAGTCGATAATAGTGGTGACCTTCATTATTAAGCATAGTTCAACGTGGGGTCTGTTGTTCGTACCTGAGTCATCAGATGCTGTACTGAGAAGCCCGGGTTGAAAATGGTCCTCCACTTCTTCCATAGAGCTCCATCGGTTGTGAGGAGATTTTGCGGGCCCATGAGCGGCTCGAGGACGTTTCTGACCTGCTCATGCTTGGGAAGATTACTATTCTGTGACACCTCCTCCGCTGACTGTCTAGTGCAGGGTTAAGACAAGAATTATCCGTGTTGTGGACTGGAAACTTACGGATCGAGGATGACCAGGATGGATCTATCAACAGGTTCGAGATCGAGGTAGAAGACTGGAGGAAGGTCGTACTCTTCACGCACTACGACTGGTTACTGCCTCGTTCAACTGGCAGTTGAGATAGACTGACAATAGTATGGATAAACGTGAGGATGAACCCGCTTTGGTAGCTTTTCAGTGATCTTGCCCATCGCGAGAAGGTGTCCAAAGATAAGAGAATGCGGTGGCCCTGGCTTGGGTACGTTAGCTTTGACGGAAGTACATCATGGTGTGTTCCAGAATGTAGCCTACAAGCGACATGTCACTTGCTGGTGAATTCCACGAAGGTGCAGGCGAGGCATTTCAGGTAGAAGATGCGTTCATCATGTCGCCTGGATTGGCCAGATGATCTTCTGTAATCTATACTTCGCTTATCTTGCTCGGAAACCGACAGCGAAAGCTGTGACACCGCTAAACGGAAAAGATTCGTTTACCTACCAGCTTTTTAATCGCCCTGCGAGACTTCAAGGTCTTGTGGATGATTTTGGCAAGAAAGGCAGCTATTATCACCGTAACGGTAACGAGTACCGGGTAATCGTTCATCAACAACATGGCGAACATAGGTTGGCAGGCAGCCGGTAGTGGGAAAACGAAACAGGTGTATATCGCTCTTGTTGGCAGACACGAGGTTAGATACTGCAATTTCGGGAGGCGCTCCTTAAGTGAAGAGCCTTCATCAAGCTGTATATCTTGTATGGTGAGCAAGGATGTGAGTGCTATTACTCACCACAGTCCGCAACAAGCAAGCGATAGACAGATTGATTACCGGATTAGGCGTGGCACGAGCCAGATTGTGGTCTTTTTACGCCTAATTCGGTAATCAATCTGTCTATCGCTTGCTTGTTGCGGACTGTGTTACTCACCCATAAATAGATTTGCTTTTTGGTAAGCGGCTTTGCAGCGTGCACGGGCACGGCTAGTTTTATTGGGTAGCGGCTGGAAGTACTCTCAACTAACAATGTCGGCTGTTAGGAGATGGTGATAGGTCATGGTTGACAATTGTGGCTGCAGGTCGTCAGCCGTGCCAAGGTCTCAATCGAGAATGCAGTAGTTTCTGCCTTGGACTTGAGAGGCGTAAGAGTCATCTCATTAACCGAGTATGGTCTGAGCTTTAACGTAGTCGGATGCATTGAATCATTCCATGCTCAGCGCTGCGGATAAGCTTACGATGGTGAAAGGCGTAAGTTTTGTATGTGGAGACGCTAATCGGTAGGACCTCGGACTAATCCGCACGGATAAGACGTGCTTATGTAATCAATTTGAGTGAGAGGACGTGACAATTTTCTCGGTTAAGCAGCCCCTTGCTAGTGGCCCACATACAATATTTACGCCTGATACCATAGTAGGTCGGCATGCTTACGTCTGGTTCCTTGCAGCGTGTAGGCACCGTCAATGTTCAAGATGCCGCACACTTCCAAGGTTAATCATAATTGACCCCACTCAGCGTGGATGGCTTCTTCTACCTGAGTAATAAGACATATAGGAATCTGCTAGAAGCCAACTGGATTTTGAACCGCCATTTGCTCCCATGACCGACCTTTACCGGCTCATCCAAGGTTCCTCGCGCCACAATCGTTTCAACGAAACACGGATGGCCAAGATGGATTCTTCGGCATGGAAAGCATATGGACAAGTCGACCCGGAACTGGAAACAATACGACTGTAGATACTACCTAACATCGGCACCATGCGCAAAGGGAGCGGCATTAGCTGAGGTGAGATTCGAGGCGCCAAGCGCACGGAAAGCCTGTGTGGTTGCTTCCGATTGGTGGAGTGCCCCACCTGACATCTCGCAACGTTCTGGGAGCGGCACTAGCCTTATTAAATAATATCCTGTGAGCAATGCATCAACTTGCGGAACGCCGTATGACTGACAACACATAAATCGCGGCTTACAAATCGCAGCAGGACAGGCATCGGCGAATTGATCCTACAGGATTACCCCTTCCTTATTCTCAATGAACAGCAGTCAAGCCCACTCTTCGCGCAGCGTGGGTACAAGCAACAAACATGCTTGCCTCAAGTTGATGGTTAGCAATAGTGTGAGCTTACGAACAGTACCAACCGAAAGCGAGTTATATAGGCTGCGAGCTTCTCGCACCTTCCGCCCTGGTACTTCGCAACATGTGCATGCTATTCTAAAAAGTCCGGCTGTAAGTGCGGCAGCGATGGCAGCGCTCGGGGTACATGACGGAATGATGACCATGTCGTCAGTCGGTGAGCGCTGACATGGTTGATGTGGTGTTGGTTGAGATCAGCACCTTGGAAGCCATGTCTTAGTCGCAAACACGTTATGTGCGGTCAGATTAGAGTTGGTCACAGCACTGCCCGGGGGATGGGGAGCTGTAGTGCTACAAAACGGCCCCAACCAAGTTAGGCGCGGTACACTGAGTACGGCTGAGCTCATCTCACGTTCAGCCGCTTGCTGACGTTGACCCTTGTGGTTTGCGCTTGGACGGTTCCCGTGCAGCGAGAGAGTGCTAGTCTGTTCCGGAACTGATATGCTGTGCTCGACCGTGAACTAAACGTTGCTCAACCGCGCCATATCAATTTGCAGTGGGATTGGGATTACGCAGAAATTAGCCGGCCGGCGCGATCACAATCGATGACGTCAACAGAGCAGAGCTTATGGTAGGACCAGAGAGTAGCTTCATGAGAGGTTTATGATTTGCCGTCCGCGTGTACACCAAGACACCACGGCCAGTATGGGTTGCAGCAGGTCTCTCTGACTCCCTAACTCTCCAGTCACCGCTAGCATTCTTCTGACTTGCACGGTTAGCATCTTGTAGGTGAAATTTTAGCCTGATGTTATCTGAATATATTCCGAATGCAGATGTTCGGCGACCTTGCCCAGTGCCTGTGTCGCACTTTGACTCAAAACCCCTTGTAATATTGCGGACGGGGTTCTGACGGGGTAGCATTGAGAGATGGGATCACAGTATCGCTCGGTCGGCTCCAGGCTTGCTAATCAATCAATCTCTTGGCAACATTGTTTCAACATGTTGTTTTAATGTCAATTCAACTGGCCTACTGCTGCTGACATAAGCAATCGCAATTCAACTCAACTTTACCCCCAGTTGATTGACAATAAGTTGAGATGACTAGTGCGCCGCATGCTATTGGCTGCGTCGCTAACCGAGGACGTCTTGGCTTTCGTTTGGACGCGACACGACGCGCAGACTTGCCTATTGTGATATCACTCTAGCACTTTAGCACAATCAGGCTGTCCCGCACTAGCTAGAGCCTGGCTGGTGGCTCAGCTGGTCCAATCAGTAGCCCCGGCTAGACTGCTTAGTAAACCAGCTTCAGCTGCTCCTGCTGGGAGCAGATTATCCTAGCCAATCAGCGAAGGGTACTATTGCGCTGATCTCGGCTGATATCACTTTTGCTATCCTGATATCACGATAGGCAAGTCTGTCTGGACAAGCAGGCAGATGCGATGCCTAGCCGGTAAGTAGCACATTAACTGCTTCTTCCAAGCTAATCCCTTAGCAGGTGTTGTCGCACATTTCCTTTGTCGAGAGTTCGAGTACAAAACCGTCCTTCTCTCGCTTCCAGAGCAGATCGGCCACTCAGGCGTGAAAATCTCTGCTACTATCCAATCGATTCTTGACCGATTTAAGATCCCACCTCAACAGCTCGGATATTTCGTTGCGGACAATGCTTCTGAAAATGATACGTGCGTAAAAGATCTGGAAGAAGCTTTTGGCTATCAACATGGCTGGCGACGCATCCGTTGTATGGGCCAGGTCATCAACTTGGTAGCTCGGGCGCTTCTCTTCGGCGAGAATCCTGATGGCTTTGAGGAGGAGAATCAGGAGTCCATGGTTGAAATTATCGAACAACAGAAACAGTGGCGGGCGCTAGGGCCTATCGGGAAGCTTCATAATGTAGTTGTTTGGATCCGGTCCTCTGCAGAGAGACAAAGGGAGTTCCAAAACCGCCAGCGGGCTAGTTATATTACTACGGGCGATCCTGATGCAGCCACGAAGCCTGTATACAACCTGATTCTTGCAAACGACACCCGGTGGAATTCAAACCTGGCCGAGATGCAGCGCGCAGTCGAGCTTCGAAACGTGATTGACGAAATAATAGCACCAGAAGTCTACAAATGGAACTCGCACCGCTCTGCGCAGAAGCCATCAATAGCCGAAGACTATCTAACTGCCGATGACTGGGCTGTTATTGCGATCTACTTGGATATTCTAAAGCCTCTCGAAAAGGCCACCTTAAAGCTGCAAGGTAGACCCAGCCGCAGTTTAGATACCGGTATCTGGCATGTACTACCTACGATGGAGTGGCTACTCCATAGGTTCGAAAGCTTCAAGGAAGAGTATCAGTCCCATCCGGATCCTCATTTCCGACGCGGCATTACCCAAGCCTGGGCTAAGCTTGATAAATACTATCTGCTTACTGAGAAGTCACCTATCTACGTCGCTGCAGTAGTCTTGAACCCGAGGTAGAAGTGGAAGTACTTTGAGAAGCAATGGGCTGATCATAAGGACTGGATTAAGGACGCTAAGAAAGCAGTTAGAGTGCTTTGGACTGTTGACTGTAGGAACCAGCCACTACCGGATGAACTCGAACTCTGCGAGCCCCAGCAACGCGATATGATCTTAAAATCGGATCTGGACGATTTCATCAATTCTGTCATGGGCCCATATTCCCCAGCCACGGATCAGCCTGACGACTACGAATCACACATATCACAAGGTGTTACACCTGAGGACTAGGCTTGCAACACCCCCATAGCATACTGGTTAGAGAAACGGCGCGTTTGGCCTCGGCTCGCGAAGATGGCGCTAGACATACTATCTATTCCACCGATGAGTGATGAACCAGAGCACATCTTTAGCCTTAGCGGTCTTCTAACAGTGGCCAATCGGGGAAGGCTTAAGACGGATGTCATTGGTGCGTCTATCTGTCTGGCAAACTGGCAGAGATTGGGTATAGTTCCTGATAGCTTTTCGGTGAGCACCTCGTGTAGTCAATCACATTTCGCCAAGACCAGTCACTGAAATGTGATTGGTTTGCTTGCATTGCATACCCCCTGTCCGTATATCTTGGCAATATGTTGTCAATCAACACAGAGTTGCTTCAATTCAACTCAACTCAACTTGTCTTTTCGCGATTACATAAGCAACTCAATTCA